GAAGTAGATTAACCTTTCTCGTTATTGGCATCTGATGGTGGTTAGTTGAGTGCGCAGGCACCTCTGAGTCATAGGTGGTGATGTGCCGCCTTTGGGAAAATTCCTGGAGCTACCAAGCGGGGAGAGTGGTGCAACATCTTTCACCGATGCAGGATGTTGGGTCTCCGTCTCCCTATTGCCGAGAATGGCTCGGAATTCCCTTAGCTTGGATCTAAACTTCTGGTGCTGGCCTTCTGGTTCTGTGGCGGCGAATTCTGCTAGCCTCTTCTTTGGTTAGAGCGAGGTCCGGAAGCAGATTGGCTTCGATGTTGGAAAGCCGGATGCAAACTTTTGCTTACGAATGCAGCGCACTTTCTGCCTACTACCTGTTGTACTTGATAGGATGGGACTTTTTGGTGTGCAGCTTTTTTTCCAGGATATGACTGGAATTTCCAGTCACAAAAGCTGCATTTATGGCAATCCGTCATGTCTGCCCCGGGGGGGCTGGAAAAATCTTCTTCGATGATTTTGTAGGCTTTCAATGGTAGCGAATTGCAGACCACAAGCACAACCATTGATCGGCCCGCCTGGTCTATTCCAGGGTGCAATTTATCGTCATCCCCATCTGCAAGAGGTGAGCATTGTATTTTGCAGTTGACCTCTGGATTTCAGCGCTTGTGATGACATGCGCTGGTGATGTAACAAATATTCGCACTCGCTTTCGCAAATATTCGCATAATTTTCCTTATTCGCATTCGCATTCGCAAAACTTCTACGACTGTTTTGCGAATATGAATATCATAAAAGAATACAATTATTAGATAACAGTAAGTTAATAAAAACAAAATCCATTCATTTCTTATGTTCTTTAATATGTACAAGAAACAGTAACTTTACCTCGTAAGTCTTTACTTAATCATTTGGTTTTATTTCATATATCATATATTTACTTTAATTTGGGCAATGAAGCTTAAAAATTAAATTTTCCTAGAACTTATATCATAAGGCAAAAAATACAATGTAATCAAAGAAATACAGTAATCTTCTAAAATAAACAATCAATATAATCATTTTATATAAGAATCATAAGTAAACACTTTAAACAGACAAAAATAAAATTATTTCTTTTACTTTAATAAAGCTTAAAAATTGAATTCTCATTAGAATAAAAATTAAAGGCAATTGAAACAATCAAAAACCAGTTCTTCTAAGTATGAAACTTTCATCAGTCTTTACCTTAATGTTTAGATAATCATGAACTTGAATAAAACTAAAAAATGTATTGCATAATCAAACCAAAACTATATTCTTCTACAATAAACTGTAAATGTAGTCTAAACAAACAAAAAAAATAAAGACTCTCAAACAAAAATACTTGCGCCCGCTCGCGACATTGGTGGTGTAATTAAATAATGCCGAGCTACAGGAAACAGGATACCGTATCCCTTGTTCACTTCCCACCAAGTTAAAGGGTCGACGTCATTTCCCAAGCGTTTTTCCGTTGAGTATTCTGTGACAGTTTTACGGATTAAAATATGAACAGGGTTTTGAAAAGTATTAAGCAGTATTAAGCAGTATGTCTAAATTCATTGTTTCTTTCAAAGATACTCGTTTATTTATTTTGGTGTCTTCGGTTTCAGTTTCAAATACAAACGGAACGCACTTCGTTCGAACGAGACTGCCATAGGCAATTGGCACCAGAACAGAAACTGAATATTCGCATTCGATTTCGCGAATGCCGGTAGCACATATTTGCAATCGTATTCGCGAATGTTCAAAAAACGACATTCGTTACATCACTAACATGCGCTTGACGATCCCACGGGTCGTTGCAGTTAGCCAGGTCGGCTTTCCATACCAACAGATGGTATTGGAACAATGATGAAAAGGTATACGATCGGAATCACAATGGCAGTGGGTAGAGAATGAGGCAAACAATTGTACTAAGGAGTTGCAATGTCTAAAGGGGAATTTCCAGCCACGAAAGCCGAGGTAGGGGTACCCTTTTACAACGAGGCGATAATGACCCTAGGATCATCACCCATTACGGAGTTTGGAAAAGTGCAACAACGGGGTTGGAAGGTGGAAAATCCGACTTCGTTAACACTGCAGGGGGGAGTTTTTAGAGCCTTAATGGCCCACAATTGATATAGAAATTTATGAATTGAACAACAAAAACTGCAGGAGGTTCCGGTATTTGAACTACTGAACTGTGGGAGAAGTTTGGGATTTTTCTGCGCCGCCGCTGAACCTCAAGATAAGTCGATTAGACATGATTTACCTCTGCGCAAAAGCTATACAGGGTATCCCAATAATCCGTGGACAAAGAAGTCTCAAGTACACATTTTTTAAGATATCTTAAGAACCGATAGTCCGATTTGAATTAAATTTGGAACACTTATGTTTTGCTAAACGTTCTAATATTTGACTTTTACAAAAAACGATGAAGGGTTCAAGCAGAGTCAACATTGCCCGCACCTCTCCATGAATTATAGCAGAATTTTTCCCGGCGACTCTGAGTCTTTCTTTTTTAGCAGATCTTTTGTATGATGCTACAAACTGACAAATACTATTACGAAGTGATACAGGACAATCCTCAAGACTGAGTATTAAGCGTACCTGCTACCAGCTACAATGTTTGGCTGGTGATTTTTTGCAAAAGCCAGAAACGTACAGGCCATGAGCCTCTATTTTTTCAAAAAACCTTTTAAATCTAGATATTAAGTACGGTAATACCTATAGTTATTGTTAGTTAAAATTGATATTGGAATAAGCCGGAATAAAAGAAATTAGTATTACGTGAATTCTGATCACAACATTGAAGGATAATGGTCGGAAGGGCAGAGGAGAAATTTCTAGATCGCAACATTGTCAAATGATTGCGGCCTGAGGACCAATTGTATGGGCCCATTTGGTTGACTTGATCCATTCAATTCTCTCATTTATATATTAGTAATCAACTTCTGAGGAAAACTAACTTAGTTTATTAACTGATGGCAGCGTTATGCGGATAGTCAACCAATTTTACGACAATTTTCCCTTCATAGTCGCAGCAAACGCTCTTAGATTTCTGTTTCTGCAGAAATGCGGGAGGAACACTGATATTTACGGTTGTTTTGCACGGTCATAGCCAAGATCATGGTTTTACAGCCATCATAGTTATGAGTATCTGCGAAATATGGTATGGGCGATGGTAGGTGATGGTTTTATAGCTTGACACATTGACGGGCTTATTCCAGGTACACACAAAATTTATCGACCATTTGATGGTCGCACATGGATAATGTGGGCGGCTGGGTGGTATGGCACGTATCACGTTTGTGGTCTAAAGAAACGTTATTACAATAATGTACATGTTTATAATTCTTGTAGTCAGTTACATAAACATAATCGGTAGCTATCTTTAGTCACCGTTTCCATTTATCCGTGTGACGCTTTACTTTGTATCATGCATCATATTCAACCTGTAATGCTATATTCGGGTGTTCGAAATTACGTATTGAACGCATGCGCTTCAACTATCTGTCATCCCGGTTCTCCTTTAGTTGACTAACAACCATACATAACTCTAAAACCTATAAAGAAAAGTTTTCCAGACACCTGCGCCATTTATTAGTTGTACTATAAAAAACTATAAACAAAGCTATGAAAATTGCCCCAGTGAACATAGTGAATGTCGGCATTTTTAGGGAACTACTGACGTACGCCAACCAACTAAATGACGTCATTATGACGGTCTAATCTCACACCCAAATGACGTCATTATATATTATAGACGGCGAACACGCATGGACCTTAGACAACGGTCGAGCTTACCGCCAAGCACAATCGTGTTTCTTCGCTAATGATCGGCTGAATGATATAGTTTCGTTCGCGGTTCCGATTCAGGATTGATTCTGAACCACTTCGCATGATTTTTCATCTTCCGCTGCCTCTGTTCGGGCTTAAAGTGTTTAACCTATTCTGTGAAAAATCTGTCACCTGTACTTTTTAGTGCTTGCTGTTCCCCATACATATGTTTTGTGTGTTCCATCTTAAGTTCTTAAGATTCAGTGCTTAAGTGTCGGATCATTTATCGTCTAGTGATGATGATTTGGAAGAACTATTGGAAGTTATTGAAGTACCGAAGACTGTGGACTACTTTGAAGAAGTGGTACCCCAATTCGACGACCATCAATTTGTAGAACATTTCCGATTGACTCGTGAGATCGTAGAGGAGCTAGCGAATAGATTTACAAATTCACAACATTATAAATGGCAAGAAGGAGATTCAGAGAAGGTGAATCCACTCAAATATGTAACTGTTTTTTTGTGGTTTGCTGCTAACGAAGCAAGTTCCTTCAGAGATGTTGCTGACAGATTCATTATTACAAAAAGCACATTATTTAAAATTGTGAGACGAGTCATACTTTCTCAGCAGCTTTTCCCTATAGATAATAAAACGGCCCAATGATACAGAGAAAGCATAAATTGAGAGGTATTTCCGAAACAAAAATTTTACAGGTGTCATTGGACTCATTGATGGCACACACATAAGAATAGACAAACCTACAGAAGATCCTGACTCTTACCTCAATAGGAAACATTTCTATTCTATTCAGGTAACATCATCATTACAAATTTCTATACAAGTGCCAAATTTTCAAAATTTTCTTATTACATTTGAAAGCTGCTCAGTATCATCCTCCATATCATGACATGGGTTATAAGGAGCCAAGGCAAACTGTTTATCTGTATTTCTATGTCAATGTATGAATAAACCTTCAACAGCTTCATAACGTTTATCTCTAATATCTTGAAATAATGTTTCTGGTACCCTATCCTCTTTGGTATTTTCACTCTTCAATTGAAAATTTAATGAACCCTTAACAATTTTCTTGAATAATAGCTAAGAACACTCTTGGCTTTCAAAATGGTTTGTGTCATTTTACTGCTGCCCAAGTATAAACTGTTTGGGCATTACTTGTTTAGCAGATATATATATATATATATACATGAAACATATTGTGATTCTGTTTCAGGCTCAAGTAGTATGTGACCACAAACGAAGAATTCGAGACATTTTTGTGGATTACCCTGGCTCGGTTCATGATAGCAGAGTTTTGAGAACATCGCCTCTACATGCAAACCTGCCTGATAAATGTGGACAGTATTACATATTAGGTGACAGTGGTTATCCTTGCTTGAGATATTTATTGACTCCATTCAGAGATAATGGTCATTTAACAAGACGACAAAAAAATTATAACTACATACTTTCCTTTAATCGATATATCATAGAACACTGTTTTGATGTCTTAAAACAAAAATTTCGTAAACTATATCACCTCAAATTTAGGGTTGTGGCCTTCATGGTTCATTTCATAAGAGCTTGTGCTGTTTTACATAATTTATTTCTTTCTGTTTCTTTTACTGTTGAACAAGCTCCAGGGCATCCAAATGTCCCTAGACAGCACATATTTTCAAATGAGGATTTTCAGCCTGATAGTGATGATAGAGATGGTCAGAGAGTGAGAGAAGAAGTAATGTAATGAATTTCAATATAACTTCAGAAAGGTATCCTGTGATTTTCTTGTTATATTTATTTGTAATGAATAGCATATTTATGTACGATGAACTTACAATTCTTTAATATCTTCTACCTTTGTTTTTTGTCGATGTATGTATTGATTTGATATTACTTAATGTATTTTTAATCTGTTTAAAATTGGTAACATGTATTTTGTTAAAACTGTGTCAGTTTTTTGGTGAATATTGAGTAGGTTTTATTTAATAACCTTTCTTGTATTCCTTCATATATTATATATTTGACTTTTGTAAGTACTGTAAATTCAACAACAAATAAAATGAACATGGCATATCGTTTTATTAACTGATGAATTAACATTCCACACCACAGAAAAATATTTGTTTTAAAGAATCTTGCAAAGAACGATGATTATTATGCAAAAACTGATGAGTTTTTCTTTTAACTCAAGTATAAATTATCCAGTGAAAGATATAAAACACCAAAAGGTATTTTTCATTCTTGCTATCCTGTGAAGTTTGCTTTGCGGCTTAATACAATTTTGCTTTAGGTATGGATATTAATAAATATATTAGCTTTCTAAGGAACATCAAAATAATGGGGGCAGATTATAAAATTTTTGTCTAAAACGCTTAAGGAAATACAGGGTGTTAATTTATTATCATAATATTAACAAATAAAAAATCATTCTATAAATGACCACCACACTGTATTTCCTTAACGAAGCATTTTAGAAACAATTTGTTAATGTATAATTTGGAGCGATAAAATGAAATGAGGCATCATTTTCATACAGGGTGGCGCATCGAAAACGTAACAGACACATTTACTGGCAGCTCATTTTTTTTTTTGAAAAACGCTCAGACCCGTCGATTTTGTTTTCGAGGGGGACACAAGTTTTGGCAAAAAATCACGTTAACACGTGCAGTCCCCTGGGCGGGGGTGACACCAACCCTAAAATCTTAAATGGAAAGGGGGGTCTAGTGATACCTTATTTTAAAGGTCTTTCAATCCCCTTTATAATGATGTAAAATACATGAGCTTCAGTTCATTAGTTTTGAAGATTTATTGATTTAAAGCTTAAAGTAGACTTTAATCGGTACATCAGATTAGTTTGTTCTACTTTCAGAAGAAATTTGACTAAAAGAATTTACTTAATAAGTAAATCATTTTATTCACTACGCCCATGGTTTGTTTATCACTTTGTTGTTGAAAATGGCTATTGGAGCGTTTTTTGTGGCAAAAAGTTATTTCTTGAAGAAAGATAAGGACATATCTCGTACTTATTTTAAATAGGAATTTAGTATATAGTTTGCGATTGATTTGATCAAACTTTGTTGCTGAAATAATTTGTAACGCTTTATTACATAAATTAACCATGGTATATTCCACAGCAGAAAGGGTTGAAATTATCGAAACATTTTTCGGAAGAACAGCAGAAATATTTAATGAGCGACATGAGAACAGTAATGTGCATCGAAAATATGTTCTAGAACTTGTAGCTAAATTTCGGGAAACTGGGTCAGCCGCCAATAAAAAACACAACATAGAAAATCCCATAAGGAACGAAGCAATAGAAGTGGGGTTTTAGGGCAAGTTTATGTAGATCCTACGTTAAGTACCCGCAAAATGGAGACTGTGTGGTGTTAGTCGACGTACTGTCCAACGGATTTTAAAGGCCCATAGTTGTCATCCGTATAAAATTCACCTGGTACAAGAACTTAATGAAGACGATTTTGATCGGCGATTACAATTTTGTGAAGATATGAGTGAACGAATTATAAACGATGAACATTTTCTATTCAACACTTGCTTTTCCGACGAATGTTCCTTTTTCTTAAATGGCGTAGTAAATCGTCATAACTGCCGATATTGGTCCGATTCTAATCCCAGAATTTATCATGAGATTCATACACAGCAGCCACAAAAATTAAATGTTTGTGCTGGTATTTTTGGCGATCATTTCGTTGGTCCTTTTTTTCTTAACTGGAAATTTGACCGGTGAAATGTATTTGGAATTACTGGAAGACGCCATAGATCCGGCATTAACAGAAATAATTGAAAATCACAATGATCGGCGGTACATTGCGAATAGGTTGATGTTCCAACAGGATGGTGCCCCACCACATTACGCGTTACGTGTTCGAGAATATCTAGATCAGACGTTTCCAGATCGATGGATTGGTAGAAGGGGTGCCATTCAATGACCCCCAAGATCGCCAGATTTATCACTTTGGATTTCTTTATGTGGGATCATTTAAAAAGCAAAATCTATGCTACTCAGCCAACATCATTAGAAGACCTGCGACAAAGAATTGTGAATGAGTGCCTTCAAATTACTTCTCAAATATTGCAAAATGTGCGGCAACGTTTTGAGCAAAATCTTTATTATTGCATGGAGAGTCATGGTGGTCATAGTTAACATTTACTTGCCTAACGGGTTACTTCATTCTTCATTTTTAAATTACTTTGCTGCCAAATGTATTGATCTCCACTAATAATGATGTATTAGTTTTATTTAAGCTTTAAATCAATAAATCTTCAAAACTACTGAACTGTAGTACATTAATTTTATATCATTATAAAGGGAACTGAAAGACCTTTAAAATAAGATATCACTCGACCCCCCTTTTCATTTAAGATTTTGGGGGTGATGTCACCCACGCTTAGGGGGCTGCACGTGCCGACATGATTTTTTGCCAAACTTGTGTCCCCCTCGAAAACAAAATCGACGGGTCTGAGCGTTTTACAAAAAAAACTGAGCTGCCAGTAAATGCGTCTGTTTCGTTTTCGATGCGCCACCCTGTATATATTATTCATATATAAAAAAATAAATCCAAAAAACAAATGAGATCAAGAAGAAATAACGAAATAAACTAAATATGAGGAAACACAAACTTAAAAATCACATTCTCAATGGCAAAAATAACAAAAATAAAACAAAACGGTTAATAAAAAAAATCTTATCAGGGTGCCATGTCAACAACAGGGGAGTAACTGTTAGCTTCCAAAAATCGCTTTACTGCCGTATCTAGAAGGCCGTCCTCACGTCCTTTTTCAGCAAGACAACGCACATCCCCATATTGCTGGGCCTACTAGTGAAGAAGCAGGCATTAATGTTTTTCCGTGGCCATCCCGTTGACCGGATTTAAATCTCATCGAACATGTGTGGGATCTGATGGGAAGGAGACTGTCCACTATACATCCTCCGCCACAGACTCTGCCACAGCTAAACCAGGAAGTTCGAGTTGCTTGGAACGAGGTGCCATAACCAGGCATCGATCATCTCATTTCGTCGATGTCTAGACGTATACAACGCATTATTATTTTTTTCTTAGTTCTTATCAATAAAATTTCGAGAGAATATCATCGTTCCATTCTTGATGTAAGACTACCTCATTGCTAAAAATCAAGTTGAAAAAATTATTTTTTCTGGGTGTAACACTTCTAATATCACTGAGTATATATTGACAGCTGGTTTTTCGAACTCAACACAAAAGCCAGAGTGCTTGGAATCATGTGGTCCTTCAAGTACGAACATTTGCAATTTAAGGTGTAGCAGTAGATCTAATACATACAAAACCCGGAGCCTAAAAAGGATGAGAAATCCTATATAGGTATGAATCACAGAAGAAACGTGTATTCTAGACCAGTGATATACATATAGAAGGAGCAGTCATGAATTCTGAGAAAACGTTACGGCTTTTTTTTATACCGAAGCAGCTACGCAGTCAGAAGCCTAAATGCCAGATCACCGCGGCTGTTATGTGGACCCCAAACAAAATTTGTTATCCCAATTTTTTAACTGCCTAAGGTTGGTAGAACTGGTAAAAGCTTCTTCTTGTAGATTGTTCCACAATCTCGACACCCTCGTGACTAAGGAGCGATCTTATCGGCCAGTTCTGGATGTACGAAGTACACGGTTAGGATGGAAGGCCGAAGTAAGCCGGGTCTGTCTACAGCATAGAGCATAGATAATGTAATCGGGGCGGCAGCACCCCAAACGTGTGAGCAATAGTCGAGGTCTTATCTGGACGTTGTTAAGTCTACTGAATTCCTTGATCAAGCAGTTATAAATCTGACTATGGACGTCATTGTTGTTTTCTTAAAATCCCCTTTTGTATAGTTCCTCCATGAACTCGTGATAAGATTCATGCTTAGTGTAATAGAAATAAAATCTATATAATAGGTTCAGCCGTATCCCCCTTTTGAGAGTTCCTATAGAACGTGTTCATGATGAATAGTCAATCGTAGTATTTTGCAATTGGCATCAGGCATCACATCTCCACTCCCGACGACAGAACTACTTTGTCTATCTTGTATTGCGCAAAATACTTTCGGCAGAAACATACATTAATTTATCAAGCTCAAGACAAGTAATGGATTACCTACACATTCAAAGACACAATCGGCGACTAGCAAAAGTTGCAAAATTACTTTTTAAATTCAAGCCAACTGGCTTTCATTTTAAACTGCTACTGGTTACTTTCAGTTACGAGTATTTGCATATTATACGGGTAATACTTCAGGACTCAAGTTCTTGGCTAAGAACCAATACCTAGTTGAGCATAATATGGAAATTACTGATTTTATATCATTGTCACTTTATTCATCCAATAAGTGATTTAATTGATTTGATATTTATAGATTTTTGTGGCGTGCCGAGCATCCTCAATAGAATCTCCTGTCACTAAGTTCAGAGAACGTATAATTAGTATTTGTAACGCAGCATAAAAGCTTTTCCTTAGAGCTTTGAGATTCAAAATGAGAGTAGATAAAACCCAAGGATAAAGTTCCTTCTGACCCTTGTCAGTATCCATCAAAACATACACATACTACTTGACCATTTCTTGACTTAGTCTAGTAAAAGTTTGATTGTGTTATTGCAGTTTAATCACAAACATTAACTGTATTTTTGTGCTGAGGTCCTAAATTTATGTCCTAAAAGACTTGGCACAAAATTCATGGGGTTTAATTTCAACAAACACAAAATAATATCAAGTTGCCTTTGGAAACAAGAGTTTGTTTCTTACGTTACTGCCACTTTCATTCATTTATGTTAAGGTTTTCGCTTCAAGATGTAGTATAAATTAGAAATAATAAAAAGTATCTACACGTTGGTTGAGCGAGTAT